TCATATTGGATGATGTTTTTATTTTATTTTTATTTATTTGATTTGTCAATTGTTTACAAGATAATAAGTACAAGTGTATACATAGTTGTGAATATATGAAATGGGTACATATAAGAAAAATAAAAGAATAAGAGAAACAATAGGACAGGGACGGTAGGCACGTTACAGGATCCTTGGTACTCTATGAACTTGGTGGTTTTCTTGCAGACGTTTGATAACAACATCAGTTTGGTAATGAAACTTCTGCAAGAAAACTACCAGGTTAGAGAGCCCAAAGGATCCCACAATTCACCCCTGAGCTACAAATATTCTCTTACATTGGATGATGTTATGTATGCAAAATAATTTGTCCTTTATTTTTGTATTATTTTTTGAGTGCCATTCTTGTGTGGAAAAAATTAGAATGGCAAACCTTATATTTGTAAGAAGAATGAACACTCCGTCACATTTAAAGCAAATGGGGAAACCTTGTGGATACATAAGCCATACTTAGATTTCATATATTCAGCATGTCCTTTCTAATCCAGGCAGGGATGGATTCAAATTTTTTAACAACCAGTTCTGTGGGCGTGGCTTAGTTGGTGGGCATGGCTTGGTGGTCATGTGACTGGCTGGGCATGGCCAACTCAACATCACTCACATCAAGGCACACATCTCCCCGCCTGGCCTCTCATGATTGTGGGGATGCTGCAACAGTCGTAAGTGTGAAAAATCATCATAAGTCACTTTTCTCGGTGCCATTGTAACATTAAATGGTCATTCCACACAAGCAAAGTACCAGCAAAGGAGGGGGAAAAAAACTCCAGAGACGTTCCAGAGACAGGAAGTCTAGTCCTGCCAAGAATGTAATAAGGGTTAATGGAGAGGCAGTTTCTGTAAGCAACACCAGAATGTTTCCTTCCTGCCTTCCTTACAGGATTAGGCCAGTAATTTCTTCTAACAACCGGTTCTCCAAACTGCTTAGAATGTTAACAACCAGTTCTAGCGAATAGGTGCAAACTGGCTTCAAGCCTACATTTAGTCTCCTTTCTGTATTAAGTTGTGCTTAATTATAAATAGTCCTTGACTTAGCAACCATTTGAAATCACCTCTCTGGTTCTGAAGTTCCATCAGTCACCCCCCTGTGGTCACATGACCTCATGTCAATTGTTTGGCAACCGGCTCACATTTATAATTATTTAAAGTGCCCCCAAAATCATGTGACCACATTTTACTACATTGTTTCCAAAACCTGGCAATTACTTTTGAATTTTGATAAAACTGTCTCATAGCAAACAATTGGTTTGCTCAATGACTGTGACGTTCACTTAACAACCACCCCCAAAAAGGTTGTACAATTGGGTTGGTCATGTAGAAGATCTGCTTTAAGGTCATCGTGACTTATAATCACAATAACTCCATTAAGGTCCTAATTGAAGGACTACTTATACTGCACTTATATCCATTTTAGGAGTGGTGGTGGCACAATGGCTAGAATGCAATATTACAGGCTAACTCTGTCCATAGCCTGAACAGCTCAAGATTGACTCAGCTGTCCATTCTTCCAAGGTTGGTAAAATGAGGACCTAGACTGTTAGGGCCAATATGCTGACATTGTAAACTGCTCAGTAAGTGCTCTAAAGCAGGGGTCTCCAACCTTGGCAACTTTAAGACTTGTGGACTTCAGCTCCCAGATTTCCTCGGCCAGTTCACTTCGCTGGCTGAGGAATTCTTGGAGTTGAAGTCCATAAGTCTTAAAGTTGCCAAGATTGGAGACCCCTGCTCTAAAGCATTATGGAGCAGTACATAAATCTAAGTGCTATTGCTATTGCTGTCGGATATTTTTGTTAAGGTATAAGGTAGCATACATAATGGACTCCATCCCACATAGAAACATTTTAAACATTACAATAGATGCAGAGGTGGTATTCAGCAGGTTCTGACCAGTTCTGGAGAACTGGTAACGGAAATTTTGAGGAGTTTGGAGAATCAGCAAATCCCACCTCTGACTGGAGATTTTACACCATCCTTCCCCTGCCACGCCCACCAAGCCACGCCCACAGAACCAATAGTAAAATAATTTGAATCACACCACTGAATAGATGGGTACATACAGAACAGAACATTTGAACTGGATTAGAAAAATAATAAATATTATTTTATTTATTAACATTGTATAGTAAAGTTGATGAAAGTTAGAGTGGTTTGCGAGTGTTATCTAGCAAAAATATATAAGCAACATTTTTAAAAAGTTAAATGGAACTGCAGGGTTTTTGCTCAAATTTATAATGAACCAAAGCAATGGAGAACTATAGAATAATGTAAGCCCAATAGCAAATTGATTTTTTTTGTCTTTTAATGACCCCGTAATCCCTTGGGGGCTGGAGTTGGGGCAATTGAATGGAGCTGAGTGTTTACTGCCCAGATGCTCTTCCTTTCGCCAATGAAGAGTTCACAGCTAATACTTACTCATTGTGCCCAGAGAGAAAAATATCTGCCGGTACCTAGGATCAAACTCACAGCCCCCTGATTGTGAGGCGAGAGCTCCACCTCTAGGCCACTGCACCACCAATAGCAAATTGATAAGGTGCCAAAATAACACAATGCTAAACACAATGCAAAGATCTGTGTATTCCTTTATTCTCATAGCATTTTTATTATCAGTTTGAAGCTACAATGCAATACCTTTTCTTATTTAGAATGTTTGAACTATCAAAAACAATAAAATTTATTGCAAATCTTGCAAATTAAATTTAAAAGAGAAAAATAAACACAATAAAGAAGGCAAAAATGGGTGCAAAAGGGACTAGCAAAGCATTCTGAAGTTGTAAGAACTATGAAAAACAGTGCAGAGTAGAAGAACTGAGCGGTACATCTCACGGGCAAGCGTGCTGGCAGTCCAATTGAAAAGAGTTTCAGCTGGACAGTTAAGCATATACCTGGCAATTCATATGAAAAATGCATACAATGGGATGTTTTAGTTGTGGGAAAGCTATGCTGGTTTCCCTATTTAAAAAAAAATAAAAAAATATGGACAGTATGTTAGATGATGCCATTAACGTAATAGGAACAATAAAGTCCAAAGCTAAGAAAAAGATGACAAATTATCTTCCATGGTAAGGAGGATGAATTTGCCAATTCTGCCAAATAAGTTTTTTTTTTTTACTTCTGCTGACTTAAAATCAGCCTCTGACTATACAACAGCTACCCAAAGTGTACCACCTACAAATGCTGGTTGTACCATCTACGATTTAGTGAAGCTAGGGAAGAAACTCTGATCAGTCTAATGAGGTAAATGAGCATGTTCAATGAATCATTATGATGTTTCAGTCTGGAGCATGGTTCTGAGAGGCATAATTATGGAAGAAAGCTTAAAATGTAGGCAGACAAAGAAAAAAAGATGGGAACATTAAAAAAAATTGACCACTCCATTATATTTATCAGTAGAATTGTATATCCTGCATATGTTTGAGTGATCAACAAATACTAATAATTTCACTACTATTAAATACATGTTTTAAATGTATGTTCTTGGCAAAGGGTCAAGGTGAAACTAATTCATTTCTATTTGCACTATGATATACAGATGATACGTTAAACAAGTCTCATAATCTCCCATACTATATCCTGCTAATACAACTGAGCATGTTGAAAGACTTATGTTGACTCTATTTAAATCTCAAGCCACTTTAATTTCTGCCTAGAAGGGAGCACTTAGTCTGTGTGCAAAATAAAGCTATTTAAAATGTAATAAAATTCATGCGCATATATCTAAATGTATTCTGGAATATAAAAGACAATACACCAATAGATTGATCTCTATCCATTTCCACTCTAGGATGTCATTTTATGATGACTGACTCTCTCTCTCTCTCTCTCTCTCTCTCTCTCTATCTATCTATCTATCTATCTATCTATCTATCTATCTATCTATGTCAGGGGTATCAAACTCACAGCCCATGGGCTGGATGCATCACACATTGGCCATGCCCAACCCCATTTTAGCAAATTTAGAGGAAAAAAAGTCATAATAGTCACATGAGGACAATGTGATGATGTGAGTTTGACATCCCTGATCTATGTCATACCAAATCATCATGAATCTTTTTGGTGTCCTTAAAAATGGAATTCATTATGGCTATTACAGTTTCACTACAGTTAGGGAAAATCCTAAAATTGCTCAGGCAAGGAAATTTTAGGTAAATTAGTACCTTAACTTCAGCTGGGATGACAGTGCAGGTACCAATCCCTCAAACACAGAACATTGCATAGATTAGCCTTGTGTGGCATAGCGATAATGGGAGCCTTTATAGTGACCTGCACAATGGTGTGATTCAACCGGTGTAACAACCGGTACAGTGATCGCATGCGTGCACACCATTTAAAATAACCCATTTTCAGCTATAATACTTACATTCTACTGCAGCCCCGGTGAGTGAAACAGCTGAAGCGTGGCAAAACTACTCTGCCACGTGAATCAGCTGTGCTCCAAAACAAGGAAATAAAGCACAGGAAAGAGCAGGGATGGGGGCAAAATGATCACCAGAACAGATTTGGTTTACCTAAATCGGTCCGAACCTGCAGAATCCCACCCCTGGACCTGCATTGAGCCAATTCAGATAATATGGCCAAACCAAATTAAGTAAGCAGCCATATCTATATCTAAAATGGCTTCATTTCTGCATTTATATGCGGATTTTATTCATTACATTGTCTCTTGCTTATAATTGGGATGTGACTTTTTTTCTTTTCATGAAATGCTCTTTAAAAATGTTCATCTCAGTGAATTTGTGTTGAATTTTTCTCCTCATAAGGACTGATTTTCAGTAAGAAATATGTATGCTGCCAAGCAGCTTAGGATGATGAAGCAATTAAAAAGTGTGATTTCCCAATGATGGGATAATGGAATATCTGTTTTTTCACTGCAATTAAAACTGAATACATTAATTTAACATGGGGGAGGGTTCCTAAGAAAAAATAATGTTCTAAATATGGAGAAAAAATGTATTGTAGATGCTTACTGCTATAACGGAAACTCCAGCTGCTGTGCTGTTGGGCTTAGGGCCTGTGTTGAAATGTTTTTTTATCTTTCCAGCTACTGACAACTGATGCTCATTTTCTGGAAGGCCATCATCCTACAAAACAAAAACAAGCAATTCATTTCAGGACTAACAAATTTGTGGTTATTTTTCTAAAGTTATTGTGTCCCAAGGATTTTTAATTTTCACAAATATAATTAATTTTGTGAATCCAAAATTTACAAACACCTTGCTAGCCTTTTATCATCAACTAAGAACTCCTGAATAGAATCCTATCTGAAGATAACAAAGTATTATTATAACTCCTAGCTATAATCATGTTTCTACTATGATTTATTGCTTAACTTTAATAATATGCCTGAAGGTAACCAAAAACAAGGCGTGCTAATTTCAATGTTTGGGGGCACTTTCACACCAAAAAAAAAAAAAACCTGATAATCTCAATAATATTAGTATTTCATGAACCATGTATATTTTTAGAACGACTCCAGATTTTCTGTGAGGCCCTTTTAAACCCCTTTAAAAATACATTTTGAAGACCAGGTATTATAATTTCATTTATTTATACAACTTTTAATCAACATAGCAATTGTAAATAAAAATTAAACAATCTTGATTGGCAACTTCCAGGTTCTTGTACTTACAGCCAAAGTTCTTTTAAAAGCAATATTTTCTGATCTATTTTAGACATAATGTGTTTTATTCCTTCCAGCCAGGTAAGACTTTTGAAATGCTGAATTCAGAATTAAAATAATTATTATATTTCACAAAAAGATACTGTGCTATACCTAAAGGTTCTGCTATATCTTTGATTGCAACATAAACAGTAAATTATAATGAAATGATTAAGAGAAACCTAAGGCTTGTTTACATCTCTTCATCCAAAATCAGATGTATTTCAGTCAGAAACTGATTCAGAAAGCTTAGACCAAATGGATAGTTTTTCAGTAAAGTAGAATTGAACATGTCTGTTTTCCAGTAACTAGCAGCACAGTCAGGCTTATGTCACTGAAACTAAAATGGAACCATTTGGCCCCAAAATTGGTTTATACAGTTGCCTTATGCATCAATATAACGCCAGAGTAATTTTGGCGAATCTTAATTGATCTTCTGAAGTATACACAAGCTGCGCATACAAAGTGCAGCCACAATATGTTGTATTATCATTTTTGCATAATAATATTAATGCCATAATTTGTAATGACACTAGGAATCCAATATAGTGATTCTAATAATATAGTGATTGAATCACACTAAATTTTGGAAATATTAAAGAGATCATAAATGAAAGATGTACAATGTTCTTTTTTTGTTACTAAATAAATTGAGGAGAAAAATCAGACTTGTATCACTGATCTCACTATTTCACCACTGGTATTCTAGGCTGTGCTTTGTTTCTTTTGGTTATCTCACAGAATGAAACTCTATGAAGCTTTTTCAAATTCAACATTGGCAAAGATGGATCTAATTTTTCTACATTTTCAAGTTTATTTAAGTTTTACTTTTTAGTTAGAATAAAAAAGTTAAGAATCATTTCATCTTTGACTCAACTTGAAAATAACTGATTTTTCTGAAATCTGGGAGGTATTGAATTCCATTTTGGTCAGTTGGAATACTTGCACTTAATGCTGCAAACATTATAATAAATATTTTGACATAAACCTAAATTGCAGGCTGCTAAATCAATATTCAAGATAGTGAGATGGACAGCATATAAATTTAATAAATTAATTTCAATAAATAAATATTCTGAGGCATTGTAACAAATTGATAAAATGTATATTCATGTGAATTTTGGAATAATAAATAATGAGTGTCAGTATTGTGATTTTGTGAAAGAGTAGAAGCTCAGTTTAACATATGTAAATTTACTTTCATAAAAATGAGGCTAGTAGAACAGGGAGTTTTATTTTGTAGATAACTGATAAAAATCATTCAATATAACTACCTTTCTATTTAGAAATGGGAACTTAAACAATGTAGGTATATACTATTTCAGGCTAAAATAACTTTAATCATTGCTGAGTAAAGATATGTATATTCTAAAATTTATCTTTTTTAAAAAAATAGTACATCAAATTAACCAGAATATAAATTTTGGTTAGAATATAACCAAATAATTTCTAGAATAAAAACCCTTCATGTTGCATCTATCATGTAAGTGGGATAGGTAAAAAATTATTATATTACATTATAAGGGCAAATTTGTACCTGAATTGTAGCAATGGATAAGTTGATCTATCACAATCTAAATTAGCCTTTCTTTTTTTTTATAGGCAAGGAAAATAATTTCTGAGCAATTTAATCAAATTATCTGAAATGCCATTGGATATTCATTCCTCCCCCTCCCTTCTTTATGCAAGGTTCTCTCTCCTTCTGGTTAGCTTGATGCACTATTTTTTTAAAAAGATAAATTTTAAAGCCCTATTCAGTTTTAAATTTAATGGAAAAATGTATCCTGGTATGGCAAGTCCTTTATAACAAGTTTATGAATGGGAATTGGCAAAACTTCAGAAAGTTAGTTACACTTTCTGAAGACACAACACCATCTTGAGTCTGGCATATTCTTAAACTCATTTTCAGAATATACGCAGAGAAAGTTATTATTGGAGATAAGCCTACATTTTGCTGTAATATTTAAAAATTTCATATTTCCAAAACAGCATTCCAGCTGATTTGACAAATAATGCAATAAAATGCAGTGTGGCTAAAATGAAACAAATAGCTTTACTTACATTAACCCATGGATGCTCAAGCACTTGCAAAGCTGAAAAACGTTGTTCTACATCTACCTGAAGCATCATAGTAATTAGTTCCTACAGAATGAAAATAGTATACCTAGTAAGTTCATTCTAATAGGATACATTTGATAAAGAATTTTGCAAAGATGATAATAGCAAATACATTACTGAATACATTGAAAAAAGTAAGATGCAAGGATGAAATACATTCCAACCTTGCCTTTTAATGTATAACGCTGATAACTGAAAAGTTTAGAAAAACCTAAAAGTTGGAAAATCATTTGAAAAATTTAAAATAGTATTGAATCTAAGGATGGTCAAATATATTTGAAACAATATTTTATTATTAATATCTACGAAATAATTTGGAAAATATTTTCCTAAATATCCAGAAAATACGCTCATTAATTTCTCAAGTCCTTATATTCAGTTCCAGAAAGCCTCCTGTACTATCAATTCGAGTATAACACAGTATTTTTTATTTTCCATATTTTCTAAAATCCAGGTTCTATTCCTCGGCACAACTAAACAGACTTGGATAGAATCTTTGTTACCTTCCCTTCATATGAGTCCTTCAAAGCTAAAATATTTTCCTTCCAGATACTGTAATATGCATAATTTCATTTGGCTTTAAGGGCTTATACATCCTCTGCATGCACTGAGGAACTGTAAATTGTCCACAGCTTTCCCGGAAAACTAAAGCAAACAATCATAGTAGAACTATAGTTCCAAATTACAATAAATTAGAATGTTATTTAAAGCATTGTTGACATTAATCATGTATACTAATAGAATCATGCTTCATATCCAAACATAGCATTAATTGTAGCATTTCTTTAGTAATTTTGGAGATGTATAATCTCGTAAAATGAACAATGCAAAGAAGATGTATCAGATGTAGATTTAATAAACTATCAAAAGCATAGGAATGTTATTGATTTAGAAGCTATCTTAAACATGTCTAGTACAGAGATATAAAGAAATGCTACAGTGTTATAATTAATGCTATGTTAATGTATATATTAATGATATGAAAATATATATATATATATATATATAGTAATCTCAGAAAGTTCATACCTCGTAGATAGAATAATGAAAAGAAGATGTATC